CTGCTGTCTCCTGGTGGGCCTGCCATGGGGCTCAGGAGACACTGGGAAAGTGTCTGACTTGACCTTTAGGGAGTGCTGTGAGGTGTGGGTGTCAGGAGACAGTGCCCAAGACTAGTCATAGGTATTTTCTTTTGGATGGTAGCAGACTTGGTGACCTTCTTTTAGGTGTTTTTGGTCATGTGGTGAATGGCTTTGTAATCAATACTGATCTGAGGAAAGGAAGGACATTTGGAGAAGGTTATATAAGACATCTCTGTTTTATTTTTTCTATTGAAATCTGAACATTGAAACTTACTTCATGTTTAATTAAGAAAAATCCCATAATCCATTGAAAACATGAATATGATGATATGTTGGGTGAAGCCATCATCATATGTAATATGGAATCTAATTAAGGAAATACAAGGCTGGGACAACAATGAGGAAGGAGCTCCTTGGCCTCTAAGGGTGGACCGTTATCTTTCAAAGAGGAACCAGATTGATTATGCCCCCTCAGATGTATATGTTTTAACTATTATTTTCTCTCAGAGTGTTTATGTTGACAGAAGTTTCTGCCCTGCCTGGTCCCACAGCCATTTAGTCCCAAAGAAACACACAGAGGTCTACATTAATCATAAACTGGTTGGCCTATTAGCTAAGGCTTCTTATTAACTCTTACATCCTACATTAACCCATAATTCTTGTCTGTGTTAGCCACGTGGCTTGGTACCTTTTATCAGCGAGGCAGTCACATCTTGCTTCCTCTGTATCTGGGTGACGACTACAGACTGAGACTTTTCTTTTCTCAGAATTCTCCTGTTCTCATTGTCTATACTTCCTGCCTGGTCGCTCTGCCTATACTTCCTGCCTGGCTACTGGCCAATCAGCGTTTTATTAAAACAATAAAAGTGACAAATCTTTACAGGAAGCAAGACCATTATCACACAGCACTCAGGCAACAAATGGTGACAACATGGTTCTGTGAGCCTGTGCATGACTTCAGGATAGAAAAACTGGAAGAACCAGGGAGGGAGGATGTTCCTCAGGACTGTCAGCCTGTGCTCTGCACTCCTCTGCTGCTGCCCACAGGGATGGAATGGAAGAGGAACTTTCCTTTGCCCTTGGGTCAAGGAAGGAACCTTCAAGAGGGCTGTCTAAGGGAGACCAGAAGTTCCGTGGTATTGACAAGCAGTGATTGCCTCTGTGACTCCCGAGGGCCAAAGGCAGAGTAGAGGACAGCTTCTTTCCACCAGAAATGTGCTGTATTTAGTTTCAGAACAACTTGTGAGTGTTATGAATTGATCAGGCATGAGAATGAAGCAACAAAACAGCCCAGAGCCTTTTAAAGACAGTTGTAGGTCTTTTTCATGAAAAAATTATACAATATTTTGATTATATTCTTTCTCCTCCCCAAACTCCCCCTAGATCCCCTCTACCTTCATACTCCTCATCTTTATGTTCTCTCTTTCCTTCTTTTTCTTCCTTCCTTCCTCCTTTCCTATTCTCTTCCCTTTCCTTCCTTCCCTCCCTTCATCCTTCCCTCCTTTCTTCATTCCTTCCTCCCCCACTCTTGCTCTTGAAAACAAAAACCAAAAACTAACCCCCCCCAAGATGAAAAGTCAAAATAAACTCAATAGACCCAAACCAAAACAAAGCAACAAAGCAAAAAGCACATAGGAAAAGCACAGAGTCAATGTCGTCTTGGCTCGCTACTCCGGGGCGTGGGGCCTCCCCTGGAGTGTCCTTATGCTCAGTGACACTTCATTGAAGAAATCTGATTTTCCCTTCCCAGTAGGTAGTAATTACAAACAGCTTCCTGGTTAAGAAAGGGATTTTATGTCCACTTTCCCTTTGCAGTGCTGGGCTCTGTCTGGTTTGGGGCTGTGGAGGTCTCGCTGTCACAGTCTCTGTGAGACAACGTGCATCAGCCCTGAGGCACCCAGAAGACTGCTGTTTCCTTGGAGCTTCTCCTCCCTGGCCCTAGCTGTCTTTCCTCCTCCTCTTTCACACACATCTCTGAGTCCTGTGGGCAGGGGTTTGATGGTTTGATAAAAACTTCCCACTTAGAAGTGCCTGAAGCCATTTTTGAACCCTGCTCAAGGCTGAGGAGACAGGAGTTGGGATTCTGGTTTGAAGGTGTCAAGATGGAGGGTTTGGTAAAGGTGAGAATTAGAAGTCATAGAAGGGCATTGCAAGAGTCTATCCAATAGGGTGCCTCTGAGGGTGCTTCCCCAGCACCCCATGTG